ACACTCTCTTCCTGCTTCATATAGAATGATAATCTTAGAGTGGTTAGAGGATGTAACTACTAGTGATTGCTTAGCAGAGTGCCAAGAAATGACAATGACGTTATAGCAAAATAAATAACTGGTTTGGGAACGAGCCTTATATAAATCATATTTATATCCCACATTAGCATATCTAACTAAACCAGAGTTAGTGGAACCCTTGGAATAATATAACCCCAAATCTATGGTTCCTCAAAATAACGAAAGATATGTTTTATCCCATTCCAATGTCTCCAAGTTGGTTCTAATCAAATTTATTTCGTAAACATAAACTGCTATTATAGCAAATTTGATTTCTGATTTCTTAATAAATACACATGGGCAGATAGGATCATTCTTGTACCCTTCCTTAATTAGGTACTCGCTTAGGCGTTGATACCATATGCGAACGTATTGTTTTAACCTGTATAAAGATCTTTGCAACTTTATTGAGAATAAGTTAAGGGGAGTGTATGCTTCAAGCATTTTTAATCCTTCGAGAATTTTCATATAAATATCAAAGTATAATGCACCATATAAATATGTCGTCACAACATCCATAAGATGCGTTTTCAATTTTTTAGAAATTGCTAGGCTAATAAGGAAACGAAAAGTAATCATATCCATCACAAGTGAGTATGTCTCTTCATAATCAATCTCAGGTCTCTGAGAGAAGTCTTGGGCAACTAGTCAGGCTTAATACCTCACGACCTCGTTTTTCTCATTTCGTTTTCGAACAAAGACCACTTATATCCAACAAGCTTTACATTATTGGTGATTCGAACTACAGGCCCAAAAACCTCTCATTTAGCTAAAAAAGCCAATTCAACCTGGATTGCTTGCTCACACTTATGTCAATCTTGCCTTTAACAACATTCGATAATAGATTGTGGCTCATAATCATCGTTCATAATCTCATGAGCAACTGAGAATGAAAAAGCATCATTGATGATTATCTAATTTCGATCCCAAATCTCATTACAATATGTGATGGAAATCTCAGTATTCTTGAGGTCGATGATCTTTTCATTAGTTTGTGCCTCTTTAGGGGCAATAGGCTCTTCTAGAGCAATTTTTGCCTCTTTAGGGGTAATGAGCTTTTTTAGAGCCGATTCATGATTCCTTCGCTTTTGTTTTTGAGGAATAGTATTTTTTGATCCTATCGATCTTCCATGCTTCAGGCGTTAACCATTTTGATCCATTTTAGCTTGTTCTTCAGGAACAACAATCTTAGTTGGAGCATTCATAGCTGGAATATGAGATTTTGTGACCTTTGCAGTATCATTAAATGCATCAGAAAGTTTATTGGCAATATCTTGTAAATGGATTATACGTTGCACCTTTTTTCACATTCAAGAGTTCTTGGATCGAAATGGGATAAAATTTTCTCATTCTCGTAGAAAATCTCAACTGGTTTTTGCTTCTAAGCAATAGAAGCCTTCGTTATCCCAATTGATGGAAACATTGTTTCATCGAAATGACAATCCATGAATCTGATGGTAAAAAGATCACCCGTCGTTGGTTCCAAGAACCTAATAATGGACGGTAAATTAAACCCAACATAAATGCCCAAATGATGTTAGGGACCTATTTTAGTCCTTTTTGGTAGTGCTACAAGCATTTGCACAACACAACCAAAGGTACGTAAATGTGAAATATCTTGTTCATAACCAAGAACCAACTGCATGGGGGATTGTAGAAGGCTAGCAATGGGATGCAATCTAATTAGTGCTGTCACATGGAAAGAGCATGACCCCACGCTGTATAATTGAGATTTGTTCTCAATAATTGAGTGCGACCGATAATTTGGATGCATTTTATCAAGGATTCTGTCAATCCTTTTTGGGTATGAACATGTGCAATCGAGTGCTCAACCTCGATTCCTAATGAAGTACAATATGTATCAAAGCTCTTTGATGTAAATTCACCAGCATTATCCATCCTTTTGTTCTTAATTGAATAATTAGGAAAATGTGCCCGAAGCTTTATAATCGACGCAAGTAAATATGCAAAGGCAACATTACACGTAAATAATAGACAAACATGGGACCATCTGTAGGATACATCCACTAACACCATAAAATATCAGAACGATTCACTTGCTGGTTGTATTAGTCTACAAATATCACCCTGGATTTTTTGTACGAATGAAATAGATTCAAGATTAACCTTTATCATAAAAGGTTTAGTAATGAGCTTTCCTTGTAAACATGCTTCATAAGTATAATCCTTGGCCAATAAAACCTTTTTATCATTTAGAGGGTATCCTCTAGTATTTTGGATTATCTTACGCATCATCGTAGCTCCTAAGTTACCTAGGCGATCATGCCAAAGGCCAAACTCATTGGGATTTACCAATCTCTAAGACATGGTAACGTAGACTTCAATAGCTCTAATAGGGACACATTATAATCTTTTAATTAAAGCTTTTAGCTTTTTATGGATGGTCTTTTAGCTTATCTTATAAGAGGTGATGCAAAGAAATTCTTTATTTTGCTCATCAATTGTCTCAAGATGGTACCCATTACGGCATAAATCTTTGTAACTAAGTAGATTCCTCTTCGATCTATTGCTCAGCAATGCATCCTCAATATGCAAAGTGGTGCCATTTAGTAAAACAATTGTGGCATTCCCTAAGCCATCAATAATCCTTACAGGACCGGATATTATATGGACATTTGCCTTACGTAATGTCATACTCAAGAAAAAATGGTTACCACGAAGAATGGTATGTGTTGTTG